TATCTATCTATCTATCTATCTATCTATCTATCTATCTATCTATCTATCTGTAGTTTAATACCAGTAGTGTTTGATTTTACCCTAGATCCTTAGGCTGTCTAGTTTCTGGTTCTTGATTCCCAAGTAGTATCAGGCATGGGTTCCCTCTTGTGGAGTGGGCCTTAAGTCAAATCAGACAGGACTGGCCACTCCCACAGGTTCTAAACCAACATTGCCCTAGCATATGTTGCAAACAGAACAGATTATAGGTCAAAGGTATTGTGCCTGGGTTGATGTCCATGTTTCTCATTCTGAAGCTTGCAGAGTACCTTACTGAACCAAAGACATAATGTAGGGGTGAAGGTTCCATGTAGGTAACAGCTCAGTTTCTCCCTCCTTGCTCAGTGTTGTCCTTGGCATTTGGACCTTACTGTCAGTTTGTGTAGGGTCACCCTTTTTCTTAACAACAACCTGGGTTGTTTGGGAATTTCTAACGGACCCTGTTGGCCAACAACCAGTTGAGTGCAACCCAGTCCTTCAGCTGGAAGCCTTGTCTGGTGACAAAAGATAGCCAGTTGAGACTCCATGTCCCCCATTACTGAGGTCTTCATTAAGATCACCTCACATTCCAGGAAGTTTCCACTGCACTAGGTTTCCATACCACTCCCCAATGATCCCCTAGTTCCAGCTGTCTCTTCCCCAACTCTCTGCCTCATCTTCTGTAATGTGATTCTTCTACTCTGGTTTCTAGCTGCTTCCAGTAACACCAAATTGCTCCCCTTAGAGTTCAGGGAATCATGCAGAAGAGGTAGAGGAGCCAAGGGAGCTCCTAAAATTTGAAGGACACCACGAGAACACAGTCCATTAAACCAATTAAGCAGCGCCCTTATGGGCTCACAGAAACTGAAGCAGCAATCATGTAGCCTGCTTGGGTCTGTGCTAGGTTCTCTACATATATGTTGAGGTTGTTAGCTTGGTGTGTTTGTGAGACTCCTAACAGTGGGCACGGAGTTGTCTCTGACTCTTTTGCCTGATCTTGAGAGCCTTTTCCTCCTACTGGGTTGCCATGTTGAACTTCAATATAATAGTTTTTTTCTTCATCCTTACCACATTTTGTCATATTTGGTTGTTATCTCTTAGAAGGCTGTTCTTTTCTAATGAGAGGCAGAAAGAGAGCAGATCCAGAGGGGAGGAGCTGGGAGGAGTAGGAGGGGAAACTATAATCAGGATATATTGTATGAGAAAAAAAATCTTACTGATAAAAGCAGATTAAAGAGCAGTATTTTAGTTCCAAGGCTAGCCTTTGTGGAGTTTCATTGACCTCAAAATGTAATATGCAAAAAACATCTTCATCTTCCGGGAACTTGCCTGAATTACAGCATCTTAGGCCTTTTAATGTAAAACCTAATTTTATTAGAATTAGAAATTTAAGAGATGAAGGTGAAAGAGGTAAGTAAGGCCCTGCAAGTCTCTAATTTTGTGTGTAGATGCACATTAAAAAGATTTGAGTTCCCCAATACAGATGTATAATATAATGTATATTTTTGTTTCCTTGGGATCATTTGGAATTGCCATACCATGTTTATAAATTGACTAAAATCTAAGTGTAGGGATTAAGTAGTGTTTAATTATGTTCTCCTTTTTTCTCAGTGGTGCTTGTTTGAGAAGTCCTTTAAAGGTTTTTGTGTTTTTCTTTTTCTTTTCTTTTTTTAATGAAATTGATTTTGTAATAACATGGTTTGAAAAGCTTTTTCATTTTCTGTATACAGTCTCACACTGTTTCCAAAGATAATATCATTTTCTGATTTTCTTTGTTCTAGGTCAGATGACATTGTGGAAGATGACAAAGAGAAGAAAGAACCTGACTTTTTAACAATAGAAAATGGAATTGCACCAAATCATGGGTTTGCATTTTTGTTATTTTTTATTATTCTTTGTTGTTGTATGTATGTGTGTATACATATATTATACATACATGTTATAAGTAAGATCGTTTTTAAAGTCGGCATTTTAATATGTCATGTATAATTTAATGTTTTAAATTTTGAGGTATGAGGGATTTTCATTGAATTTCATAAGGCATAAGTCTGTTAAAAGTGTTCAGGTCTGTAAATGAACTCTGATAAGTGCTCTGGTAAATGCTGCCATTTTCTTTAAGGTAATAGGTATATTAAGGAATAAGATAAATACATGACATATCAGTTTGGCAGTTTTATGTGTTAATAGATTATCTATCTAAAGTGAGTTACTGATTTGGAATTATTAAAATGTAGTAAGTATATTCCTTAATTCATTTTGTTTTTGTAGACTGACTTTTCCACTGAATTCATGCCTCAAATATATGTACCCACCACCTTCAAGCACAATCCTTGCAAATATAGTAAATGCTTTGGCAAGTGTGCCCAAATTCTATGTACAGGTATGCAGAATCAACTTAACTTTTGCTTATGGGATAAAATTTATAACTTGGTACCGTAGATACTGTGCTGATGCTGGTATTCATAACATTTTTGTAACATAGGAATCTTAAAAATTCCAGAGAGACAGTGTTTTATGTAGTGTTTTTAAATGTAATGAATTGTCACATGCTACTCTCAAGTAGTAACTTCATAAATACAGTGAATGGAGATTGAGGCTACATTTGAAGATGTAATTTGTTATAATTGTTACTTGAGTATAACATTGGCTTATAGAAATACTTAAAGAAAAAGTATTGATTCAGTAAATGGTTGAGAACCTTGATAGTAATATTATTTCTCAGAATTATAAAATATAGGTCGTTTATGTTTTCTTTCCTTTGTTTCATAGTCACAGTAAGCTGGGACAGTTATATGGGAACATTTTCAATAGGTTTTTATACTACAAGACTGTCATGTTCTTAGTGTTAGGAGTTAAAATCAATGTATTTGTAGAAATGACAAGTATTGTAGGAAGATTAAGGTTCTGAGATACTGGTGCCTTATTTTCTCTTGGTTTAAGAAATGTGAAGGCCAGACAGAGAAGTGACTTTGTTTTTTATTATGTTAATCAAGTGTGTTTACATGCTAGGTGTAGTAGTACTTGCCTTAAATTCCAGCACTCAGAGGACAGAGGCAGGAAAATATCTGTGAATCAAGATCAGCTTGGTCTGTATAGTGAGACTTTCTCAAAACAACAGAACATTTTTCCAGGTTTTTTTTTTGATATATAAGATATATGATATTAATCATGATATTAATTCTATGTTACTTAAATATTTTGCTACGTTAAGGTGCTTCATCTTATGAATAAAATGAATTTGCCCACACCATTTGGACCTATTACTGCACGACCCCCTATGGTAAGAAATTCTTAGAATTTTTATGAACCATGGCTTTCTTTCCTGAGAGGTAAATTTTATTAATTTTGTAATTTCTTCCAGTTTTCTGTTCTTTAATCCCAAGAATCACAAATGATATTATATTAATCTGTAAGTATAAGATAATTGTATTTAACTGAATTATTTAAAAATTTGTTGCTGTGGTTTTGATCCAAATGCAGCTAGCTTCATTTGGAAAGGATAAGTAAGGTTGCTAAAAGTTGTTCAAAAATTTACATAGTAGTGTATCTGCTCCTTGAGGTTATTTCACTGTGATACTGTGTAGTTATCAGTAATATTGATGCAAAATTATTTTTGCTTTTAACATACAGGTAAACCTGAAGTTTTCTTTGTAGTTGGCTACTACTCTATGAACTATTAACTTCCTAACTTTTTATTGTTATATCACCATGTATTTGTTGTTTAGAAAGTAATATTGATTCTATTAATTCAGTAAGTTGTGTCTTGTCATGGCTATTCCATTTCAAATAACAGGGAAAGAGGGATGTTTGAGTCATTCAGAAGATCCAGGTTGTCTTTATTATGTACCTGTCCATGCTAGTTAGAACATACTGTAGGTCAGAAACGAAGGATTACATATCAAGTTTTTATGTTCTTATTCCATGGAGTAATTTGCGTGGTGAAATATAAGATATTTTTCCAAGCTTTAGATGGCTAGGGAATAAAGAAAATATAAATCTTACCCATCTAGCAGTCTGCTACCACAGATATTCCCTGAATGTATGTTGAATGTATCAAAGAAGAGAAATGAGAGACTCAAGAATTTATGTTGAATGAGATTCTGTTGATGATAATCAAGAAGTTATACAAAATAGTTTGTCTGTTGTGTAAATATTATTAGTTTACATAGTGTCTGTTTTGTTCTTTTAAATAGTATGAGGACTATATGCCATTGCATGCACCCCTTCCACCTACATCACCTCAACCACCTGAGGAACCTCCCTTACCAGACGAGGATGAGGATTTATCTAGTAAAGAATCAGAATATGAAAGCAGTGATGAGGAGGACCGGCAGAGGTTTGTGATGTGACATACTATTTCTAAGAATAAGAATGTGGAAAAGACATGCTCTTCCTATATTTCACATATACTTTATTCAAAATTAGAGTGCATTGATTGTATCCCAAACCTCCTCAAGATCTTGAACATATATATAGTAGTTCAGTGAATTTGGACAAATTTTTGGATAAAGAATAATTTTTTAGATTGATTTTTTTTTTCGTGCCCTAATATCTGACTACAGGTTAGACAGGATTTATTTATTAAGACCAAATAGAATTGGGAACGAAACAATTTTTAAGAAATACATTTAGTTGTCAAATATTTATTAATGCCTTATTATGTGCCTGGTCTTGTTTTAGAAGGTTAGTATATTTTTGGTGGATAATTTTGATAATTGATGTGTAGTTTGAATATTTAAATGTTTGATTTTTTTTTATTTTTTATTTATTTTTTTGGTTTTTCGAGACAGGGTTTCTCTAGCCTGGAACTAGCTCTTGTAGACCAGGCTGGTTTTGAACTCACAGAGATTCTCCTGCCTCTGCCTTCCCAGTGCCGGGATTAAAAGGTTGTGCCACCGCTGGCTGGCTAAATGTTTGTATTTTTAATAACATTTTTATTGTGTTTGTTTTGGTGACTTCTAGAAAAAGCCCTAGCTGTTTAGCCCTAGCTGCCAGGAATTTGCTATATATACCTGGCCATGTTTTGTTAGTTAATTAAAATAAAATGCTCAAATAATACAATATATTTGTATATTTATTCAGTTTTATGGCTTTTTATTTGGATACCTGATATTCATAATGAAAGTTTTTTAAATTGGTAATGTAAAATCTGGCCAATATTTTAAAAATAAGATTTAAATGGTGCAGGTCAATTTAAAATGTGAATTTTAGTCAAATCGATTATGTATACTGGTGACTTTAAAGTTAAGCTAATTAGTTTTAAATATATTTCTTATTAAAGATAGAAACTATATTCTAGAATATCAACTCTTATTTACTTCCCCCTTTCTTAACAGAATGAACAAACTAATGGAGCTAGCAAATCTTCAGCCCAAAAGACCCAAAGCCACAAAGCCACGCCAAGTGAGAAAAAAACGAAAATTAAAGGATATGTTGAATATACCTTCAACTTCACATAGGTAGCTTTATGTATACTTATGAAGGTTGTTTGTATTTGCTTTGTTTATTCACTTAACTCAGATTATTCTTCAGTCTGACAGTTTGTCGGTTGATTACTGGTATCATATATAACTTTTCTTCTGTTATGACTCTGGGCAGTTAATGTTTAGTATGGATCTTATTTGGATATTTTGGTATCTATCACAAAGGAGATATTAAAAACAACTCTCAGGAATTTAATAAACTTGCAGTTTGATATAACAACACGTTATATCAAAAGGTGGGTGTGGCTAAAGACTAGACTTTTTTTCCAGTAAACAGGTGAAAGTATAAGCATATACTGCATAGTATGAAATTTCATAGCAGTCAAGTTTTCTAAAAACTTGTATTAAAAAACTGACCATGGTAGCACACACTGGGTTGGTTACTGGGTTTCTGTTTGCCAAACTCACAGAGTTTATAAAATTCTGTTTATTTACCAGCAATTGATAATACTCAGTATTTATTTCAGATTAACATCTTTTCCCTTATCAGGCATATTTACTACTTCTTACTAGTGATTGCAGTTTTAACTTCACTTCAGTCTTCTGCAAGTTACATTTTAATAGAAATAATCTTCTTATAAATTATGACATCTTAACCTCTTTCTGTGTTGACATGGCATTTCTTTTCATTTAACGCTTATAACATTGCTAAACACTGTAACATAGCAAACACTTATAACAGCAAAAACACTGTAAGCCGCATTTTCTGGTAGCTGTTTTATACAGTAAAAATGAGCAAATCAGGGCCAATAATGATAATTATTTAATACTCAAAGTATTTCATCATACAATCTGTATAGAAAAGCTACTGAGCAGTTCGACATTTTTCTTTACAGAAATTCACTAATTGCATGTAGCTACTGACTGTTGAGTTGCATACCACATCACTGATTACTCAGTGTACAATATATACTGCATTAAAAACACTGCCAGATGATGAGGTGTATAGCTGTAATCCTGGCACTTGGGAGAAGGGCACAGGATGATTAGAAGTCAAAGTAATTCTCTGCTATATAAACCAAGCTTAAGCCTGCGTTAAATTGACTGGCAAGGTAAAGGTTCCTGTGGCCAGTGAACCTAGAGTTTGATCCTAAATATCCATATGGTGGAAGAAAATAACTGTCTATCACAGTTTGTCTTCTGATGTTAAAATATTCCCTACCATACAAAATACATGTAAAACATAAAAATCTGCTGTTTAAATTGAATGGATAAGTCCTAACTTTTTCATTTACCAAATGACTTTAAACTTTGAACATCTTTTAATTTTAGTTTCCTCATCTTAAATTAGGTGTTTGATAGTATCTTTGCCAACTGTTGAGCTTTATTGGACTACTAACTCTAGTCAGTTTTTGTGGTCCCTAAAATGTATAAAATGTTTTAGTTATCTTCATGAGCTTTTTAAAGAATATCTGAAGTGGGGCTAGAGAGATGGCTCAGAGGTTAAGAGCATTGCCTGTTCTTCCAAAGGTCCTGAGTTCAATTCCCAACAATTACATGGTGGCTCACAGCCATCTGTAATGAAGTCTGGTGCCCTCTTCTGGCCTGTAGGCATATACAAAGAGAGAATATTATGTATATAATAAATAAATATTTGAGAAAAAGAATATTTGAAGTAATGTTCTTAGAATTTTATTTTAAATTATAATCATATGTTATGATTGTTTTTTATTATAAATACCAGTTTGCATCCTGTGCTGTTACCATCAGATGTATTTGACCAACCACAACCTGTAGGTAATAAAAAAATTGAATTCAATATATCTAACAACATGCCAGTGGCATTTAAGAAAGATTTGGAGAAGGAGCAGAATAATGAGGAAAAGAAATCTGGTAAGAAAAAAATAGTTATTTCATATACTTTTCAACCTTTTTTAATGTTAAAATTTTATAATAGTGCTTGTCAGCTTTACTTAAAGTATACAGTTGTAGACTGAGATTGTAGGTCATTTGATAGAGAACATGCATAGAACTCTGTGTTTGGTCCCCAGTACTTCATGAACTGAACATGGTAATGTAGCTTGTAATTTCAATGTTTGTGAAACGGAGGCAGGATACTCAGAAGTTTGGGGACATCCTTGGCTAATGGTTGGAGGACAATGTGGAATAAACTAGACTTTATCTAAAATGTAAATATATATATATATATCAGACATTAACATATATGTGGTTAGGTGAGTCTCAATATCAAGGACTAACATTCAACTTTTAATAAAACTTAAGCTAAGTGGAAAGATTGTTACTGTTGCTTTTTATTTTCTGGTATTCTGAGATAGGATTCTCTATACATTTCAAAACAGTTTAAAACCATGGAGTCCTCCTTTCCCAAGTGCTAAACACTAAGACTGTGTCTATTAATTCTTGACTCTTACTAATTTTTTTGCAAGTGATGACATCTCCGTGAAAGTTAGGGATTTGCTGATTATAGAGGGGTAGGGAGGTTAATTTGTATCCCCAAATGTATCTTTTGTATTTTTTATTCCAGACTAACATGTTGACACAAATCTTTTAATTTATGTTGAAAGGAGTCAGCCTGTTTTAACATTATTCTGATGTTACATTCTGAAAACCATTTTAGATTATCTTGATTCACTGTATTTGGCTAGAATATTATCAGTTTTATAATTTAACTAATTGCACATTTAGCTTAACATAGAGTTACTACTATTTTAGAGTGAGTAGGATAAATAATTGCTACATACCAATATACACACTCTTATCTGATGTTGAGCATTTTCATTAGATTCCCATTTGGTACATCAAACGGAATATGCTAAAGCTTAATTCATTTTTTTTTCCTCTTTGCCCCTTAAGTAGCACTACAAAGCAAGCATTTGGCTCTTTAGCTGTTGTCTGTATCTGCCTTCATGCTACAATAACAGAACTGAAGAGTCAAAACCAAAGTCTTGCCTTGGCCCACAAAACCCTAAAATACTCTTCTTTAGATATTTATAGGAAAGATTATCCTGCTTCTGTTCTGAAATACTGAGAAACATTAAATTACCAAATGATACTTTTGTAAATTGTAAGTGGAAAACAGGAAAAGAAACCTAAAATGTGTTTTGAAATATGAAGGGATTTTTGGTTGGTTTGTTTTCTTTTGGTTTTATTCTTATGACTGATATTAATGTTGGACTCTTAGATTCACCAGACACTGAACTTGATGATTCAAATACGGGATTTGGAAAAATCTTCCCCAAACCTAATTTGAACATCACAGAAGAGGTTAAAGATGATTCTGATGAAATGCCCTCAGAATGTATTTCTCGAAGAGAATTGGAAAAGGGTCGAATTTCTAGAGAAGGTAATATAATGACATAAACCAACTCATAATCCATTTGATATTTAGTGTTCTACTCCTGTATCTCATGTCTTATTGAAATTACAACTCTACAGGTCATTTACATTAAGATAGACACTTTTATATTTTTCTAGAATTAGTTTGACACGTTTTTCTTTTTTTTAAAAGCTCACCTTGTACTAGGGAAGTTCCTTACTATACAGTGTTTGCAGTAAATATTTGGTAATCAGTAAGTCCCACAAGGCTGAAGTTACATATTGTGTATATAAAAGAGTTGACATTATAGAATATCATTATAGAATATCTAAAGTAGATACAAGGTCATTATTAAAATTTGGTGATTAGAAAGCTGAATTTAGGATTTATATCCCAATATTATTCTTAAAATTGTTTTCACATATTTTAATCATTTTCTATATGACAAAATACCAGGACCAAGGAAACTACAAAAGAAGCATTTAACTAGGTTAGTGTTTTCAGAGCTTTAGACTCCATGATGGCAGAACAAAGACATGGTAGAGGCAACTGAATGTTCATGTCTGTATCCACAAGCTGTAGGAAGAGAGAACACAATAGGAATAACGCAAGTCTGTAGAAATCACAAAGCCTGCTGACAGTGACACACCTCCTCCTCCAAGGCCACACCTTCTAATTGTTTCTAAACAATTCTGCCAACTGGTGACTATGTGTTCAAACATAGGAGCTCATAGCCCCCATTCAAACCAACATACTATGATTATTTTTTTAGTTTAGTATTTCTTTAATACCGTTCTTCACAATAATCAGGAATTAGCCTTCAATTAATATCTTTGAATATAAAATCTAGTTTTCCAAAGCAGATAAATAAGAGGAATCATAAAGAAGTTTGGCGACCTTTGTCTGAAATTTCTGGCTATAAATTTTGAATCCATTATTCCTATGTTTGAACATGACAGTGACTAATGATTTGGGAAATGCATTTTAAGCACAATAGTTAATAAATGGTTTTCATCACATATTTAGGAGTTTTAGTAAAATGGCTTCTTTTTTTGGTCAATCTGGATTGGGGAACAAATTTTTATTCTATATAGTTGAGAAATTTTAAGCAAAGATTCAATTTTTTTAAATATACTTAATTTTAGATTTTAATATGAATTTGTGAAATATTGTTATTACTATCTGTTAACATTTTCATAAAGCTTATTTTTTGCCTTTTTAGCAGTTACAATTGAATGTTATTTTAAAAATTGCTACAGATATTTTAATTTTATATTTTTATTTTGCTTTGTTCTTAAAAAGAAATGGAAACACTTTCGGTTTTCAGAAGTTACGAACCTGGTGAACCAAACTGCCGAATTTATGTCAAGAATTTAGCTAGACATGTTCAAGAAAAGGTAAGGTGAAATTTGCAATTTGATTTTGTTGTTTTGCCCCCCCCCAATTTTCTTACTTGTCTATGTTCTTCTTACCTTTTTTATTATTATTAATTTCAAATTCTAGGACCTTAAATTTATCTTTGGAAGATATGTTGACTTTTCTTCAGAAACACAGCGGATAATGTAAGTGGCAGACATAATTGCAAATTGTGTTTTATCTGTTGTAAATTCACCATAGTTTGTTATACTTTTTTTTCTTTAGTGCTGAAACTCACGTGGTAATTCATTCACATGTTCGCCTGTGTAAATGTCCTCTTACAGTCTAGAACAGAAATAGATATGTTTGTATGTAAATGAGCAAATAAAATTTTTAATATTTTAAAGCAGATATTTCCTACAACTGTTCAGTTTTTCCTAGTATGAAAGCTTGTATTGACTATATGTAAAGAAATGTTTATTGCTATATTCTACTAAATAACCTGTATGCACAGGACTTCTGATAAGTTTTGTCTGAAACCCTTTGACACTAAAGTATTGTTACCTTCCTTCCTTTCTTTTTTAAAACTTATTTATTTATTCATTTATTTATTCTTATGTTGCCTGAGAACTCTGTAGAGAGCTTGGTTCAATGATTTTATAGGCCCATCTCCAAAAATAGGTTTTCTAGTTTGGTCAGAGCTCTGGATTTGCAGTTCTAAAATTGATTTTAGCTATTTAATTTTATCTTATTTCTAAGTGAAACCAATACTTTAAAATCTTACCTGTCTTATATGTCATTTGGATATATTTTATGTTCATATGTATAAGTACATGCAAGATACGTATTATAAAGATTGTATTTTCCGTATTATCTTGCCTAAAATTACAATTTGAGGTGAAAGAAATACTGATTTAGGAAAAGCTATAGATCCTCAAATGACTGTTTCTTCTGAGAGAAGTAATGACATTGAAAAAAATTTCACTGCAAAAAAAAACTGCACTGCATTTTCACTTGTGTGTTTGTGTGTGTATGTATTATGTGTCTTTTTTGTTGTTGTTTTTTGAGTTTATAATACTGGATCATGTTTTTGTTGAAATTTACAATCTCATGTTTATAAATAGCTTAAAAATAGTTTTATGTCAAAAATGTTTATATGATTATACTGTAGTATAATAAGACACTAGGGGAGTATACTAGGAATAATGTGTGACATTATCCCTATGCTTAGAAGAGTCATTCTTTGTCCATGTACCATTAATAAAATGATAGCTTTGAGTATCTAGTAGATAGTTTCTGTAAAAGTTTGTAAATGCTCATATTATGTAAATTCAACAATGAAAGCCAATTACTTAATTAAATTTCTTAATTTCTTAGCCTTTTATTCTTATTTTTAATCGCTTGAGTATATAATATTGAACTCATTGCAAGATGTGTGCAAAAAGATTAATTAAAAATTTTTAGCTTACTTTGTTAGTATAACTATACTAGAACCCTGGATCATAGTAAAACAAGAAATTAAGAGTTTTCTTTTATCTATGATAGTGATACAATTTTAAAACTATGAACATAGCACAATTGTTGATTGTTAAGAACAATACAAAATATAATTTTAGAATATCTAATTCTAATATTTATCTAATAGCTCTTTTACATTGAAATGGCAAATTTTTGAATAGTTAAGACCTTTGACTATTTGGTGTTTTCCTTTTGCTTCTAGGTTTGATATTCGCTTGATGAAGGAAGGACGCATGAAAGGACAAGCTTTTATTGGTCTTCCGAATGAGAAAGCCGCAGCCAAAGCCTTAAAAGAAGCTAATGGCTATGTTCTTTTTGGAAAACCCATGGTGGTTGTATCCTTTGAATCAATCCCTTCTAAAACCCTGGGGTTTTTTTATAAGTGGGGTATAAGTAATTAATTTCAAGTTGTGATTTGTAATAATATCAATAATTGTTATTCAAGGTTGAGTTGTTACTTAACAGTTCAACATGCCTTAGCTCAGTCAGGTGACAAATTTCCTTAATCATTATTGGAAAATATTTAACTTTAGCAATTTCAGGGAAAGTTCAGCCAAATTTATACATTTATTCAGCTCTAAATTATTTTATCATGTTAAGGTCAAAACATACTATCTAGAAATACACTTGGAGTCACAGAAGTGATTCCACTGTAGAGTTTTTGTAATTAACATTTCTGCTTTGGTATTTCAGTGACCAAAATATATCTATCATTGCACAGCTATCTTGTAGTAAAACCAAGTTTAAATTAGTGAGGGTACAGATGTGACTGTTATAAAGAAGAGCAGATACTTTTTAATTCCTTTCGAATTGTGATTCTATTCTGTGTTAGGTAGTAGGACTGCATAGTATATATTTTTATATATTAGATCTTGATAAAAATATCACTTTCATGTTCACGATGGGACCCTTAATTTTAACGCATTAGCAGTTTGCTCGATCTGCTAGACCAAAACAAGACTCTAAAGAAGGAAAACGAAAGTGATAGGAGTGGATAAAGGTAAGTTTGGAGAAAACAGTGAAAGATAAGATGGTTATTTGGGGTAAAAGTAAGGAAGCATAAAAGTCTTGTGGATTATTACTATTCAGACATATTTTAGAATTTTTTAATAAAAATTCTGTGTATATAGTTGAGTCTCATTAGCTTCAAAATTATAACTAGAATAAAATCAGTTTGTATGTAACTTTTAGAGAAAATTTTCTAAATGGAATGTATTGAGTTTTACTTTGTATATATATTCCTTGCATGATGCTTTTAATTTCTAACCATTGTTGTAATGACTTGGAGAGCTTGATAAAAACAGGTTGCTGGTCCTTCCCTCCAAAATTTTCTGTATCAGTAGTTCTGAGGTGGGTGACAGGTGGTCCCATTTATCCTGTGGTTAAGGAATTTCTCAGCATATAGTAATTGCAATACCGAAAGCGACAATATCTAGGAAGCCAGGACTAATTAGGTATTCTTACTGGCACTGTTCCAGTTGTAAAGTCATTGAGTTCCTGAATGACAGTGAGGTGATTACTCCAGGGACCTCAATGAAAACTGAAGGAAAACAGTTACTAAAATGCTTCAGTGCTATATATTTAGAATGATCAGTAGTCTTTTCAAATATGATTTTGTGGCATAATCTTTTGCAACACAGTCATTACTTATGTAAGTGAATAAATGATTTCAATTAGTAGAGTTAGAGTTTTTAAATTATGTTACTTTGAGAAATGAGTGGAAATAATCCTTTCAGGATTTTTTGGGGTATGAATTAGATATTTTAGTTATTCTACTCTTAGAACCTGAAAGAACATGTAAAAATAATAGCTCAAAATTGCTGTTTGGAGGGGTGGAGGGGTAAGAGATTATCAAAATAGGAAGATTTGCATACTGTATAATCTCTCTGAGTTTCTTGGAGTATTTAAGCTTATTTTCAAGACAGTCAGATGTCTTAAATACTGTGCAGAAAAAAAGATTTCAGTCTGTATTTTAGTAAATCATTTATAAATCGATTGCTACCAATTAGCAAAGAAAATAAACTGCATTCTGCTGTTCTTCCTTAGAAGCATTCCTGCGTAAATACTGCTGTAATACTGTCATACAAGTGTATCCTTTCTTGTTGTATCCTTTTTGGGGCAGTGGTTTTGTTTTATTTTGTTTTCTAGAAATGCTTTGTCTACCATTCATCTAGATTAAGCAATACTTTTTATACTTTATTCAAATGAAATAGTTCTCAAATGAGTTTTGTAGCCTGAACAAATATTTTACATGTATTTTAAATTGACTGTTTAATTTTCTATATTGTCATATAATCAAGGAGATTCGTTCAAGGAAAGTTAGTGAATCAGGTCCCTTAGTGTATACATATGCTTTACTACAGAATCTGGTAGTATTTCCTCTATATGTGAGTTTTCTCAGTCTGTTTCAAGAACATGCTTTCTGTTTCATGGTATATCCCATTTAGGTGTTGTTCTAGTTTCGTTTTGTTGCTATGACAAATACGCTGACAAAATCCAACTTAGGGATGAAGGGGTTTATTTGTCTTGTAATTCCAAGTTACAACTCGTTGTGGGGAAGGCACGGCATGAATTTTGAATATAATATCCACAGTTGATCAGAAAGAGAATAAACCCATAGATCTTTTCTTGATTAGTCTGAGCTAGTTTTTCCTCTCAGGGTCACCTTTCCTAAGAAACAGTGCTAACCAAAATTGGCTGAGTCTTAATGTCTATCAAGACCATGTTACGCCCTCAGACCAACATAGTCTAGATAGTATTTATTATGACTGTCTTCCCAGGTTATTTGGTGTTGTGTCAAGTTGACAGTTAAAATTATCTAGCACAGTTGTTGTATATAATATGTTCTAAAAAAGTTGACTGGGAAAGAATATTTTTTCCATTAGTAATAAATATATTGAAAACTAATAAGATTTCTATAAAATTTTCAATAGTAGAGTAGCAGATAATCACTTGAAAGTCTAACTGAAATGTCTTTGCCAATTGGAAGGATTTTCCTTATTCTTGGTCTTTCAAAACAAAAGTGAAAAATTCAAAAACTAAATTTAAATATATGTGTTCAAATTTTGACATATGTATTTGTCAAGAATACATTTGAAAATGTATTTGAAAAGAATAACATAAGACATGCTAGACTTCAGATAGTTTCGTCAATTTTTTTCTAGAACTAAGAACAATGATTCTAGTCTTTATGATAACTAGAATCTCTCAGAACAGCCAGTCTCAAATTTTACTGCACATTTGAATCCTGAGAATTTTAAATTATGTAATAATGAATTACCTGCTTTCTGTCTTAGAGTTTGATTCTAGTGTATTACTAATGTAGAGAGAACCACCAAGGAAGAGTTTCTATGTATAAATATTTTTAGACTCTTTATCTTAGAGCTAATAAATAAAAATCACTTGGAATAACTTCCAGTAATATATTTTGAATGGTTCCCTTAGTAATAGAAAGGACCACTGAGAAATTTAGATGCTACTTTGTTAAAGTGATTGACCATTGTGTACCAACTTAGTAAGGCATACAATGTTATTTTAGCAGTAAAATAAAAATCCTCAACGTTTTGTGGGAAATGGTGCTAGTATAATTGTGTAAAACTACTCAAATTCTCTTATTTGTCACCCAATAGTAGAAGCTTTCCAAAATTGAGATTATAGTCACTTGATTTATACAATTGAAATATTTAGATTTAAATATTATAAGTTGTAACATTTGGGCCTGTTTATTGGGGTATCTGTCCTTCCAGGTCCCACAGCCGTTTAGCCTCAAAGAAATCACACAGAGGTCTATATTAATGATAAAATGATTATCCCATTAGCTCAGGCTTCTTAACTCTTATAACTTACATCAACCCATTATTCTTATCTCTTTTAGCCACATGGCTCAGTACCTTTCTTGGCAGAGCAGGTCACATCTTCCTTTTCTTGTGTCTGGGCACGACTGGGGAGAAATGGGCTTTCTCCTTCCCAGAATTCTCCTGTTCTCATTGCCCCACTTATACTTCCTGTCTGGTTGACCCGACTGTACTTCCTGCCTGACTACTGGCCAATTGGCGTTTATTTAAAACATAATTGACAGAATACAGACTTGTACCACACCAATAAGTAGCAGTCATTAACAAATACTTTGTTGTATTGACATGATTCACTAATTTTCTACATATAAGTATTTGGGCTTCTTAAGTTAATGAATTGAATTATTATTTTTAATGAAATTTTATGGTGTTTTAGGTTCCTCCAGAATTCAAGTACTGTGGAACTATGAGAGAAGAAAATCGCCCTCTGGACTTTTGAACTGTGCGTAACAACTTTGAAAGCACTCAAAAATCTCATATTCTCACACTAGTGTTTGGAGTACTTTATAATAGTTTATTGCAGATATAATAAATTATTTTCTTCTCAGCAATGTCCATAATTTTTCATTACTTGACCTAAGGAAGTGTAATTTATCAATTAGTATAAACTAATTAATTATAAAGTAATTATTTTAAATTAATTTTTAGTACTGGCTATATATTTTCCTTTATGCTTCTTAATTCTGTTTTTTATTCTTACCTATATACAATGCACTTTTACACATATATTTAAAAAATATTATTTAGGTAATTATTTTAAGAGGAGTGTCAGTTTTTACTGATACTATTGCTAGCTGTTTTGATAATGGTAGATTTGTCTGTAATAAAGTATTAATATTTGTGATCATTTCTAACCTAGAATTTGAATTTTATATCTTTAAACTTAATTTCTGTAGAAATATTGCTCAAAGGTAAAGATATTTCTTATAGTTAACTTTTTTTTTACTTAGTAAAATTTATTTTTAGTTGAAGAATTAGATTTTTCAAAGGTTTTTATTTGTCACACACACACACACACACACACAC